TAACTTACTGTAACTCACTCTAACTCACTCTAACTCACTCTAACTTACTGTAACTCACTCTAACTTACTGTAACTTACTGTAACTTACTCTAACTCACTCTAACTTAATGTAACTCACTGTAACTTACTGTAACTCACTCTAACTCACTGTAACTTACTGTAACTCACTCTAACTCACTCTAACTCACTGTAACTCACTCTAACTCACTGTAACTCACTGTAACTCACTGTAACTCACTCTAACTTACTGTAACTCACTCTAACTCACTGTAACTCACTGTAACTCACTGTAACTCACTCTAACTTACTGTAACTCACTGTAACTCACTCTAACTTACTGTACTGTAACTTACTGTGCCTCACGTTTGATCTTTACCCTATCCACGTGGACTTGGTAGCTCACATGTTGTGCAGCACATGGAATGAAATGTGCTTCATGAATTATGTTTTGCTCGCTTGCACTCACATCCATGAGATGCAGTGAAACAACGGTGTTTAGTCCAACAGCCGCTCTGCTTTTAGCTCTTCTTTTGGTCTCCACCAACTCTCTAGCTGCTAAATGTTCAGCTATGTTCACCAGCTGGAGGCTCCTCGCTGCTTATTCTTTATTTATTCATCACTATGTGCAACCACTTTCATTGAACATTGACCCATTGTTAATATAAAATATTGATCAGTGCAGCATTAATGTTCAGAATGTCTCCCGTCAAAGTCCAACCTGCCTGTTGAATCTATTTTTTCTTTGGCAGGCAGTACAGTTTATTCATGACTAATGTTAAACACTCACAGCAGGTACTGTGGGCTGGTTTAGGAGTGAAATTAGTTTTTGACTAACCAATGGTAGTTGGAGGGAGGGCTCTGCATTCGTGAGTCAGAAACCCTGCTGAAGTCGTCTGCAACTGTAAATTTATCTTCAGAATGGATCAGTTCTTAGATTACAAACTGATAAAAACACCGTATCCACGCCGAAGGATGCTGTCGACTGAGTGGCTGCTAGCAAATGACATGAAACCCTTGTGTGTGGGTTTGCTTACTATTACTTGAGATCACATGTAACGAATCCTTTATGTCTGTGTGTGTGTGTGTGTGTGTGTGTGTGTGTGTGTGTTGCTACAGGCTGCAAACAGCTACTTAAGGGACCAGTGGTTTCACTCCCTGCAGTGGAAGGTAAGGTTACTGTTTGTCTTTAACTATTAATGGATTTGTTTCATGTATTGTATCCTGTATTGTTCCTTATTTAAGAAATACACACATATTGAAATGTATTGCTGATTGATAATGTTGAAAAGCACAGTAGGTTTGTGTTGCTTTAGAACTCTTCTCACAGTCAGTCCCTCCACGTTGCAGCTCTTTATGAGGATGTGACCTCTAAGCCTGTCGGTACCAGAGTCGTGCTGAGCTCACCAAGCTAAATGAAGCTGCACGAGGAAGTAGGCCTGAAGAAGTTCAGAGAGCTCACACCGACTTCCTTTGGTTTACTTTATTCTTTTTACACTCAACATTGTCTCTCAGGGACAAATATAAAGCTGTTGTATAGACAGCAGTGCCCGGGTATCATGATCGGTCCACGCAGCTCTGACTCTTCAGAAGCATGTCCTGTTGATGTGCTTCCACTCCACCATTCTAGATAGAAATGTCCACGCCACATGAAACAGACCAAAGACCAGAAGAAAATTCACACTTTCGACAAATGTTTCTGTCACAAAACAACGCAGGCAGCAGCTCCAGAAAAGGATGATGATGTTCCAGATGTTTTTCTCGGTAGTCACCGGGGGCTGTTGTGTTGTGCTTTTCATGCAGAAAAAGATCTACAAGTACCGCAAGGTCCTCAACAACCCGAGTCGCTGGGACGTGGTACTGAAGGAGATCAGGGCGCTGGTGGACATGGCTCTGACCTCACCTCTGCAGGACGAGTCCATCCACCAGGCTCCTCTGCACATCATCTCCACCCTGCTGGCCGAGGTAGAAACACACACACGCACACGCACACACACACATTCATGGATGCAGTATTTTACCTATCAGGACCTTACCATTCCCTCTTTATGCCTAATATTAGTTTGGGCCCTCATCTAAGCCTAGTCCTTATTGTCTTTTCTTCACTTCTTTAAATTATAACAATAACCAGAAATAACCGGTTAATCTTACAATAAGGAAATAGAAATGAAGAAATAAGAGCTGATGTTTTACAGTCTTAAGTGAGGGCACAATTATTGGTTCCTTTATATATTTAACACAATTAATTCATTTGCTTATTTATTTCCAACTACTTATTGATCAATTTAAACACTTAAGACTTCATATACTTGAGAATTTTAGTTTCTTGCTGCTTTACACTCCAATCAGAGGAAAACATAATAGGTTTGGCTCCACTACAGTTATTTATCAGATATAGTTACCAGTTCATTCAGGTTTTACATACAGACCATATGTTTTAGATTATACACTGTGAAGCAACAGCCAGTCAACAGTTAGCTTCACTTTGTTTAAAGGTAACAAAAGCCTGTTTATTTGTGTTTTTGGGTCGCTAGACTTGTGTAAGAAACTGAAATGTAAAAACTGCTACTGGCCAATAAATAGTCTGACCCAAAACGCACTTTAGAACAGCAGTATTGTGTTTTTACACAAATGAACAATGCTAGTTGTTTTCAGTCTTTTTGCTAAGCTATTAGCTAAGCTAACCTGCTGCCAGAGGTAGCTTTAACTTCATCCGACGGAGTTTTATCCAAGTCGTGGCAAAATGTCAAACTAGTCCTTTAAGAATCCTCCTCTGGGGACCATGAATGTTCACAGCCTGCTTTATGACAATGTGACCATGAGCTAATGTCAGATTCTACTGCTAAGAAGTATTTAAATGATACCTTTCCTAAAAAAGCTTTGCATTACTGAGATTGAAGTTTTGAGAGTTAGTATTGCAGCATAAAGAAATACATTAAAACAATCTTGGAAAATTTACAATAAGAGTTGTGAATTGATGTAACAATGATGTAAAGCCTCACACTTTGGTTGTGATGTTGTGGTTCGTCCTTATGTTTGCTCTGATGTGGTGCCATCTCCTCTAAGGCACAATATTCCAGACAATGTGTTTGGGTACTATGTTGACGTGGCACTGTGTCAGTTCACATGACCATGCATTACGAAGCAGCAACCTAACCTAACTACACCTAAAGATGACAAAGATGACACTAATCCTAAACTTGGTCCAAATGTTTAAAAAAAAATAAGCCCTCATAAAGTTCTCCTTTTTTATATTGCTGTGCGGACATTTGACTCCAGTTTTTTCTCTTGGTCTTCACCACAGAACTCTAATCTCAGCACTCAGGATCATGAGAACATCATTGTGGTGAGTTTCCACTATAAATTGATATTTAATGTCAGCCTGAAGTTAATAATGAACCCGCTTGAGTCCTGCTGGTTTGATCTTTAAGCTGAGGACAGATATCTTCATGTATTGGTTTGTGTTACACTTGTACATTTTTGATTGTTGCTTGCGCTGTATAATAGGGGCGGTAAGATGGCAGTATCATGCCGGTATCATGCTAGTATCATCATGGTAGCAGTATCATGGCGGTAAAATAGTGGTATCACGGCGCTATCATGGTGGTATCATGGCGTTATTATGATGCTATCATGGT